TGAAATCGCTGGTGTTTCTGACGTCACAAACTACCTTCCCAACTACTAACCAATCACGTCAACGTGTGATCGTCAACGAATGCATCTCTGAGCTGGTGTGAGTGAGTGGAGGCAGAGCTAATTTGCATATTCATAGAACCGTGTTTAATAAATGAGGCAAGGGTGTAGAGTTACTTTTAAGCTATTTTAAGGCATGAAGACATTTTTTAAAGGAAAAAACGTTCAAATATGTCATTTTGGTGATCAAAGATGAGTTTTAAAGGATAAAATGATTGACTACAGGGGGGCTTTAAACGCTTAAATTAATGACTACAGGGGGGATTTAAACGCTTAAATTAATGACTACAGATGACTTTAAGACATTTCTGTAAACCTCTTTGGTAAATGAATGACAACGATTTGTTACAGGTTGCAATTTGCTGTCAGGTCAAATATAATTACCTGTTTTTTACCAGTTTTTACACATTTGAGTTATATTTCATAAAATAAACAGTGCTCAATGTGCCATATGAACTATACAAAAGATCATACTAAACACTCTCTCCTAGGATTCTTCAGAGGTCTATGCAAACCTATAATTGTAGGCCTAGAGTTTTTACACAGTACATTGATCTGTTTGATTCAAATGATCCCTTTAAGCACTGAGGTGTACTGAAATGTCTCATCTTGTGTTTAACTTTTAATTAAAATTACTATTTTAGTCAGTGGAATAAATATTGGTTTTGATGAAAGCACATCAGGGGAAAGTGGTCTATGAAGTTTGTTCACCTCACGAACCATGTAGCCAAGAGGCTGTGAGATTTCCATAGTAACGCAAATTCGCACCATGTGATGTCGAGATGTGTGGTTTAAGGGAGCAAATGAATGCCTTATGGCGCAAGTCAGTCTGTGAACCAAAGCTCTATTTCAGCTATGAGTTCAACATAGCAAAGTACTCACGTTTTAGAACCTCTTGTTCCTTTAAACTTTGAAGAGTTTCTTTGCCATTATATTTCAGCGCTGTGAAGTTGTTAATTTCAGTGCATTTAAAATCTCTTAATGAAATAATTGATTAGCACTTTGTGCACTTAAAGACTTAAAAATGAATGAAAATAACTAAATCACTCTCAGTATCCACTTATGGGAGAGAAAGAGGAATGAGTCAGCTCTTAAAATCTGAAATTAAAGTGAGAGAGCGAGCGCGCAGACCCTCAAGACCATTGGGAGTAAAATCACATCCAGCACTGTACTTGAGAAAACATGAAAACAATCAAGTTGTTCCATCTGTCTGTGTTGACAGTGTATTCAACCCCCTGCCTCACATGCTACGTTGCCCTAACGGTGTGTGTGTTTCGGACAAAAATCAATACATCCTTACCGTCCAGGTAGCAGCAATGTTCTATCTTGACTGAACTCTAACTCCCTGACAGTAATGTTATTTGGAGGTAATCCAGTGTTATATATTATAGCTTTTTTTTCCTCTATATACTTCGATGCCAAATCAATCCCTTTCTCCAAAGTAAATTAATAATGAATGCCCTCTCTTGTTCATGTCACAAGGTAGCCAGAGGGGGCTGCAGAAAGATGTATTTTCAAAACCGCACTTGGTTTGATACTCGATATATTTTTTCCACAAGTACAGTGGGATATGCTTGATGCACTGCTAGCTGAAATAGAGTTGGATCTGTGACTCCATTGCAACGTGCACTGAGAATGAATACCCAAAGTAATTCTAAACTAACTAAAAAAACATCTAGCAATAACATGATGACATCGCATTAAAAATTAACGCTTTGTAATCTGTACTAGGATGAGAATTGTCGAACATCCCCTGATGATGCAAAAAAAAGCTTATATTATCCCAGAGCGCATGCACTTCGGTGTCAAGGCAAAAAAAATGGACGAGGGCCGTGCTTGTTTATTCCGCATGCTTAATTTTCCCCGCCCTTGGATGCTTTTCATTGCACTGAAAGGGTAGACACTTTATTTGGATTAAAATGGTTTGCTGTCTGCTCTTCTCTGATAAGGGAATATAAGGCGGAGTTATTTATTAATTTATGTATTTGTTGCATTGTGCTGATTCAGTGTGGCGCTATGAACATGCAGCTCAGACATGCTCTAGTGACCGGAGATGCTGCACTACAGGTTTCCAGAAGGTTCTGACTGCTCAAGGTTAAGACTGATTGGGTTGGATTTACCCTCAGTGTCTTACCAAGAGGCTGTTATTATAATACACAGCATTTTATGGGGATGCTGTAAATAATATTTTAATATGATAGCTGAACTAACAATGTGCAGTCCCTACAGTGCACATGTATTTAAAGGGATAGTTCACCCCACAATTAAAATGACTTTGTTTAATATAGATAGTGTCTACACCAGATGTGAGCGATGAGACAAAAGCAAATAGAACACATTATAATCAGTGATGCTGTCTACACTTAGATGCGGCGTGGCAAGATGTGACATAACAAATTCCCGGCAGTACACTGATGCCCCATTCTATTTCTGTTGTACTCCAAGCACTTACGCTATTTCTGAAATGAGAAACAAATAGATTTGTAGTGGTCGGTTTGTTCCGTCTAGTGTAAACAGCCTCAAACTGTAAGTCTTCTGTCATATAATAGCTTTGTGTAATGAATAGGTCAAAGGGTTACACTTTATTTTATTGTGTCCCCATTACAGTGTAATTATACATTGAAGTACTTAAGTAATTGTAATTAACTACATGTACTTACTATAGGGTTAGGGTAGGATTAGGGTTTGGTTTAGGGTTAGTTGCATGTAATTATGCCTAGTTTCTAGTTATTGCTATAGCCTAGTACTGGTAACAAAGACACATTCAAATAAAGGGTTACCGGTCAAAGTGCAATTTTTTTTTTTACAAAAATGTTATCATTGTTTAATGAAATTCTTCCTAGTTCTTTTTGGTATGTTCTTGATTGTTCTGATTTGTCTAATCTTTTCAGTGAATAGATTAGATAAATTAATTTTCTGTCTGCCACACAAAACTTTTAAATGGCTTCAGAAGTCTTGTAATATAAAACTTGTTCTTTTTGCACCTTGACAGCCTTAGTACTCTACTTGGTTTCTATTATATTGACAAGAAAATCTGGACAAAATTTCACCTATTTTGTTCCACACTGAACAAAGAAAGCCGATTTGAATTTGAGTAAATATTAATGGCAAATCTTTCGTCTTTGGGTGAACAGTTCACTTAAACATACAGTCTTGCATAAGTGCAGACTCAGTCATCTGTGTGTACATGCAATCACACCAGCCGTGTGCAGCGAAAGGCTGTTTGAACAGCAATGCTCTTGTTTCCTGTATTATTTACCATATCATCCATGTCTACATGACGAATGTGTGAGAGCTTTGCTCTTTGATCCCATAAACGGTGTTTCATCGGGGGTTTCGTTCAATTACCGGTGCAACAGCTGCTTTTGCTTTGCATTTTTTTCTTTTATTCCAGCCAACTTTGAATGCCCTTGAGTGTGCTTTGTTACCCTGTTTGGCAACCGTGTGCTTTACATGCCAGCCGACGCGTCTCCTCCTTCTATTATGGGTGGCTCGCCTCTTACTTGGTTCATCTAGGGAGATTTTTATTAAACCAGGGTTTTTTTTTTTTTTTTTTTTTTTTTTTTTGATGCCACAGATCCTCAAATATTTTTCCTAAAAAAAGGCAGCTTGACCCATTAACACTTTAAAAAAAAAAAATATATATACACATATACACACACACACACACACACACTAATAAGTTGTGTTGACACTTAATGTTGTATAAAATCTCATTTTTATCTGTAGAATTAGATATGTTTATTTTTATTTTGTTTTATTTTATTTTTATGCAAATAATTGTGATTAATCTCATGTTTTATTTTTATTATTTATTTTTGGCAGTTTGGTTTTTGCTGCAGAAATGACATATTGCCGCCTTTATAGAGAAGAGCAAGGGGAAGACAGATTGGAGAGGGGCGACTTTAATATTTCTGCGTAGGATGCCCTGCAGTGTATTATGAACCTGTCCACAGGGAAAAGGCTTGATCTTTCCACTGATCTCCAGCGTTCTCATTTAGTCTATTATAAGATGAGGTAGAGGCCAGTGCCGCAGTTTCCACTCCCGTGAAAACGAACGCCTTTGCTTGTACCCCAGTACTTCTGCCCGCCTGCCTAGGGAGAGAAAAAAAAGACACAAAGAAGCACATTTACCACATCTGTCCCTGGTGCTTTGGATGTTGCCCTGTAGAAGCTAAAGTAGTTCAGCTCTGTGCCTCTCACTGAATCGACTAAAATGAGCGCGCGAGCATTATAACCATAATGGGCTTTAATGAGCATCGAACGCCTATTATTCGAATGTGTGCCAAAGATTTTTGGGCTGTGATGCTACTAGAGATAAAACAAAGATTGCATGAAAATTGTCCCTGCGTTTTATTGAATGGTTAATCAGGCAAGTAATCAATTAAGCGCATGATTGCTTTTGATTTTAATAGCCCTACAGTATATGAAGAGGCCCTTTTTGGCCTCTGCTGCTAACTGTTAGGCATAGCTGTAATTAGACACAGCATGTCCTCATTTAAGGAAGGCCTGTAAGTAATTAGCATCTAATTCCATTGTATCCGTTATATGGAGAGATGGCATTGTCTTTAAGTCGAAAGCACTGAGAGGCTGTTCCCCCCCAGCCAGTTTAGCTTTAAATATTATCTGGGGGTCACTGAATTTAATAAACCCAATCTTCAGGAAGGTTTGGGGGTTTGATCGATGTCTAACCATGTTGTTCTTCCTTGCTTAATATCTAGGGAATACATTCGCACTCGCTTCCGAAACAGATGCAGTCTTCCGACGTACAGTACCAGGGGGACTATTTGAATGAATGCTAATGAATATTTGAATTTATCTTAAATGATGAATCCCAGTGCTTTAGTAACAAAGGGATACACTGGTAATAATTCAGAGGGGAACTTTGCTCGTAGCGCACATGCTAATGCTAAGGGTTAAGTGTTCTCTCTCTTCTCTTGTAGTTGCTCACAAGGGGACTTTGTGACACACACAGCATGGCTGAACAGATCAAGTATACTGTACGCTGGAGAGGATAAGTGGTCTGTGGACCCCCGGGTGAGTTTGGTTACTCTGAACCAGGATGAGTTCACCATCAAGATAGAGGATGTGGACTTGACAGACGAGGGCCAATACATCTGCGCGGTGCAGACTAGCACCAGACCCAGGACCACTTCCGTGCACATCATCGTTCAAGGTGAGTTTTCTGATGTGTCACGGTGTAGAGCACTAAGGGTGAATGCTTTTATACGCTTTTGTAAAGGAGCACTTCATCCAAAATTGAAATACTGTCATCATTTACTCACGCTTGCGTCGTTGTAAAAACTGTATGAGTTTCTATCATCTTTCTGAATGAAAAAATATTGCAGAATATCCAGAGTGCCGTTTTCTATAATGGGGATTGGAGCAGTGAAGCTCTAAAATGACAAAAAGGACCATAAAAGTGACACAAAAGTAGTCCATTTGACTCGTGAGCTGTATTTCTAGTCTTACAAGAACCAATAATTTTTCAAATCTTGGATGTCAAACCTGGTGCGCTGTGTCCTGTTGCATCATAATTGAACTGAACTTTAAAATGTTAAACAGATTTTCTGCAAATAACTACTTAAATGTTAAACCATCATATGACTTCAGAAGACATGCAATATATAAAGATGTATAAATAAACACTTTTATGTTTCCTATTATAAAGTAAAGGTCACATTTTCACATTAGCTAAATTTCACAAGCAAAAACGCCCATTGCCTATTGTCAATAGTGTAGCAATGTACAGTACCCTGTGTATGAAGCACAGCACACAAAGAAGTCACTTTCAAACCAAGCAGCTTTCTGCAATATCTGCTATATTTATTTTGTATTTCAAGTAAAACAAAGTCATACAAGTTTCGTACTGACCATGAGGGGGTGAGTAAATTATGAATTTTCATTTTTTGGTGAATTGTCTCTTTAATATGCTTGTGCCTGAATGTGTGCAAATAGTCTGTGTGTTTGTACAGGTATAATATCATTTCAGTATCGGTTTAAAACACCTTGAACTCCAGTTACGATATTGGGTATTTTAATGAAGTGGATAATTATGTAATTAATGCTGATTGTGTAAAACCTTGGGGGTGCATTTTTTGCTCCTGATTTGTGGGTCCAGTGTTAATATGATTGATGGCAGTGTCATTCCTGTGCAGTGATGCAGTAAGTCATAACAGTGCCGACTGGAGGTACTGTACACTGGCTAGAGATTTAGAGCACAGCAGCTCACCACTGCAGAATTTCAGCTTTCAATGCAAAACTCATTGAGTAATATTGTGGGAATTAGTCTTTTTTGGTAGTTAAATGTTCATTCCAACACCATTTCTCCATTGAATGAATGATAAGGCCAACAAAATATGTTGTATTTGGCAAACTCACAGTAATGGTGGCTCTTAACCAACATGATGTATCAAAATAATTTGTTAAAAATAAATGTTCAGTCATTCTACATGACAAAATGAGCTTTTGACTGTGTTTACCCATCAGGTTTTGTTCACAAATCTTAACCCTCTTTGGTATGTATCATGTTTTAATTTTATCTAATATTTTTCCCATCATATTTTTTGACAAAATTAGTTTGAATATGAAAAAAAGCTATTAATTGTTCTTAACGCATCAAACCTTAGTCATAGCATAATTGTTTTATGCACAAGTAAATTAAATGAAACACTTCCAAATAAATGATTAAATAACTTATAATTAATTCCAAAAGTCCAATTTTCAAAGTTTCCTGCAAAATGATGTTACACAAAGTTGACCTGTGGGCAAAAACATCTATTTAACATATATATAGTCACCTCACTATTGGTTTATTTAAAGTTTTTGTCCTGAAAGGCAAGCAAGTTGAGGGAAAGCACCATAGATCGATGAGAAGCAAATAACCCAGAATTTGTTCAAAGAGGTCCAGTTATTAACTTATGGCTAATGGTTCAGACCTGGATTTGTGTTAGTTGATAAGCTGTGGTTAAATCTTTGTTTGTTGTAATTAGCCTCACTGACACATGGTTATGAGAGAGTCTTTGATCTATAAAGGAAGAACTGTACGTTGGGTTAGATGAGTTCATACTTGCGTCAGTGGAGAAGACCTCTCAAGACATCATCAATTAAACTGAACGTGAGATCAAAGAATGGGCAGAATTTGGGGAAGAGCTGCAAGAAATATCTTTCACATCTATGAAAATTGTATTAGTGGTGTTTGCAGAGGCAGGCATCACTGTTGCTCAGACTTGAGTTTAAGATTTGAACTCATGTAATACTGTGACTTCGTTCCGCACTGTTTGTGCTTCGGACATGAATTATAGCTCAAAGTATGTGGGTTTGTGAGAATAGGTGTGCTATTACTTTTACAAGTTCTGTAAAAAAAATACAAACCATAGACTGAAAGAGGGAACTGATAGGTAGTAGTAACTTTCTGAATTTTACATTTTAATTGAAGTAACAACTGAAATTCAAAGAAAGCAAAGAAATTTACATCACTATAGTTTTTGTCAAAGTTTATCTAGATCAGGGGTCTCAAACTCGCGGCCCGCGGGCCATTTGCGGCCCGCGGGGTGATATTTTGTGGCCCCCTACTTGACATTAAAGTGTAATGTTAGTGCGGCCCGTCGTTGCGTGTGCCGCGTTTTAAATGGGCTACCATACGGTGGGTTTGTTGTCAATAGTTGCCATAGACAACCGCTAAATACTGTGCGCCTGGAAAAAATGAGCGCGTCGCTTCAATTATGAGCGCGCTTGCCGCGCACGCGCACCTACATTTGAAATAACGAACTTGAGCTTGCAAAATATGTGAGCGCGATATGTGAACTGCCCCTTGTCGAGCTACCACCAACCAGGCCGCGAGCTACTGGTAGCTCGCGAGCGACGTGTTGGAGAGAGACCCTGCTTTAAAACAATGTGAGAATAATCATTTTGAGCTTGTAATATGTGTCTAACAGGTTGATAAGAAGGTTTGCTTTGATTTGTGCAGTCAGTAATTTGCCTGAGACACTATACATGTGTAGAAAGAATTCAATAAGACGGGCAGACATGACTGCAAATATTTGTATTTCAAAAGCAATAATTGTTTTTCTAAGTATATAATAAAAGGAAATGTGCCTTCCAAAAAAAACATTCAATATCATTAATGTGTTGTATAAAGAAAATAAAAAGGACATAAGCAAATATAAATATTACAAATATGTGTTATAGACAAAGAAAGTTTGTAAAATGAACTTCAACTGTCAGAAGGACAGCTCATGAAGAACCAATCATGTACAGAAAGGAATGTTCAAATTCAGAGGAACAGTTCAGAAGAAACGTTAATAATAAAGATTGAGAAGATTGGATCAGTTGTGCTCCTTTTTTGGAATACTTGAATACTATTTTTGGTGGAATACTTGATGCGGCCCAGCCTAACCCAGACTCTACCTCCAGCGGCCCCCAGTTAAGTTGAGTTTGAGACCCCTGATCTAGATAATCTGAATTAGAGCTGTCACTAACGATTATTTTGGTAATCGAGTAATCTGTTGATTATTTGAAGATTAATCGAGTAATCTGATAATTTTGTGGTAATAAAAATAGACCTAAGGGAACAATAGCCTTTAAAATGATTTTAAATACATAATAACAATGAGGCAATCGGTTCAAAGAAAGTACAAAAGTAAGTGATCGTATGGTTTTATTGAACAAAAATGTTCAAATACATAATGTAACATAATATAAACACAATCAATTTATGTACATTATGTATTATAACAAATGCCTGCAGAGGGAGCCTGGTGATTGTTACACTTCACAGCATGATCAAATATTGACCAAACAACATTTCATTCAAATGTCTACTTTTTTAAAACATCATGGTATCATTTTAAGTAGCATCCTGGCAAGCACCACTCAAATTTCTTCAGAAACGTAAACATCTACTTATAAAATATCAAACAATCTTGTGCCATATTATATCAAACACTTCCTGTTAGCATCAAGACATGTTTTGCTTTAGCATTCCATGTAGCACAATCGGTCAGTTCAAGCCCGAGCATTTAGCAGATCCAAGTAATCTGCCCTGTTGCCTTGGTAACGTAGTTCCAGAATACTGCCTTGATTGAGAGTGTGAAGAGATGTTTCGGCACGGAGGTCAGATTCTGCACAATACCTGGACATAACAGCACACTGACAGAAATACAACCATAAACCACAGTTACCAAACAGCACATAGAGAGCTGGAGGGAATTGCGCGTCCCTGATTGGAGTGTGAGTCTGTAACCGCAGTTGGTGGCAGACAGACAGAGAAAGCCCTCAGCTGCTCTGTCTTTACAGTGTAAACTGCAGATTTGAATAGAGATCCAATTTGCTGCTCCGCATGGAGAGTCACAGCCCCGCACTTCAAATTTAACGTGAGAAATGAGTTCGTAATAACCTGAATAAGCAGGTATTATGTAAACACTGGGAGTGGTTTTGCGAACACCTGCTTGTGATAAACAGCGTAAAACTCAACCGTCGTCACGAATACAAATAAAGGACGCGGTTCGTCTTTCTCAGTGTCTGTGAGGGCACTAGAAGGCAAATATTTACAGCCGCACAACTCACTGTTGACCTTGTTAAAATCATCAACTAGAGATTAGCTCATTACGGGTTTAGTAAATGAAGTTCTGCACATAAAAATGGTTGATGTAATTGATTTTTTAAAATCTCATTTCAGTTAAGTCAGCAAGCGTTCAAGCTGAATTGGACAAATGTCCACCTGAATTTCTGCTGTAAAGCAGCTCTAAAAAGACAATAGTGGGTAACACTTTACAATAACAGGGCATGAATATTCATGTACTAATACCTGAATTAATAGTTAATTCAACGTGAACTCATGATTAGTGAAGATATGAAATAATCATGAACCAATGAAGAGCGATCCTTAACTATGACAGGAGTCATAATGATTCATGCATTAATAACAGCAGCCTTAAACATGCTAGTACATGCTTGATAGTAAATGCATTAATTAACGTTTATGGGTAAACTAAATCAATCAGGCTCCATAAGAATAAATAAGAAATATTTTGGGCCCTATTTTAACGATCTGAAACGCAAGTGTCAAAGCGCAAAGCGCAAGTAACTTTGTGGGCGGATCCCGGCGCTGTTGCTATTTTCCCGGCGGGATAAATGCCTCTTGCGCCTGGCGCAAATCTAAAAGGGGTTGGTCTG